CCTCTTCATGCAGGACATAGCATCCCCTAGCTACTGAGCTACATAATTACATAGTTAGTCTGGCTGAAAAAAGATAAAAGTCCATCCAGTTTAACCATTAAAAAAAAAAAGTTATAATCCTATACCCACAGTTAATCCAGAGGAAGGCAAAAACCCCAGCAAAGCAAGATCCAATTTGCTCCTGGAGGGGAAAAAATTCCTTCCTGATCCCCCGAGAGGCAATCAGATGTTCCCTGGATCAACTTTACCTATAAATGTTAGTATCCAGTTATATTCTGTGTATCTAAGAAAGAATCCAGGCCTTTTTTGAAGCAATCCACTGAGCTGGCCAGAACCAACTCTTGAGGGAGTCTATTCCACATTTTCACAGCTCTTACTGTGAAGAAACCTTTCAGTGTTTGGAGATTACATTTCTTTTTCTCCAGAGTTAACTACAAATTATTAATAACATTACTAATTTACAACATGTAACACCAATACATAACAGATTTCCTAAAATAAATGCCTACAACTGTATAGCAACAAACAAAACAAAAAAACACACACCAGTTACAAGGCACATCATAGAAGAAGTCCTGCTTGTGCAAGCTTTAAAGCTCCATGCACACTAGCATTTTTTTTAAGCTTAAAAAAATGCTGGAAAAAACGCTGGATAAAAAAAAGCTGGTAATAGAATTTTTTAGAAGTTCAGAAGCGTTTAAGAGCATTAGCATTTTATTAGTGTTTTTACAGTACATGTAGAGGGAAAGAAAAGCTAGAAAAAAAGCTGTTAGAAGTGTTTTAGTAGTGTTTAGCTAGAAAAAACACACCAAAAAACTCTACAAAAACAATTTTTTTTTTGCCCCTAGACACTGAAGCTCAAAAAATGCTAACAGACTAAAATAGTGTGCATGGATACATAGGAGAACACTATTTAGCTTCTAGGAGCAGAACAAAAATACAAATAACAGCTTCTAGGAGCTTAAATGAACGCTAGTGAGCATGGAGCCTAAGTAAATTATTTACAAATTATTGAGCTGGTTTCCACTTCAAGATAGCTGTATGTGTTTTTAAATGTTTTTAGTTGGGTAGTATTTTGAATACTTACATATGTGTTGGCGTTGATTTACTAAAGGAAGTAGAATTATTCACGTCGCAAAATTACTTTGTAAAGTGAATGTTGCATGGCTTGACTTTTGCACGCTTCCTGTTGAACTGGCTGAAATTTAAGCCGTGGGTGGCCCTGTTGGCACCCCATGGCTTAACAAAACTTCGACTGAAAAATGGAAGGAGCCTTGTGAAAAATTGTCAGCCGAATAGCGACTGCATCCAACCACATGAAGTCACTGTTTAACCTCCTTGGCGGTATTCCCGAGTGTAGCTCGGGGTAACATTTCAGTACCAAAAGCGGTAACCCCGAGCTACACTCGGGAATACCATGCAGCACTGCTCCGGCATGTGTTCTTCACTTACCTTACCCTGCGCTCCCACGATGTGTCCCCTGCAGCGTCCCCGGCCATCTCCTCCGGCCGATGCCGGCATCCGGCTTCTGTGTCCTGTCCCTGTGACGTCGGGACGGCGGCGGCGGGAAATTTAAAAATTTTAAAAAATGTCATTTTTTTTTTTTTTCATTTTACACAGTAAAACATTGCTGTTTCAACCTATTTCACATACATCTTGTCCCCACTGCTTTGTCCTGCGCCCTGCCTGCATTTTTGTCTGTTCTTTCTGCCTGGAAACTGAGAAATGTCCATGGCGTCCAAAAAGTGTCCCTTTAGGTCAAAAGTGGTTTAGATCAGCTAGAGAACAGCGATAGTAAATCAGAACCACTTACAGAATTGAGTGATAATGATTCGTGGGGGAAATTCGTCATCAGAAACTGAAAACGATTTTGCGACTGAGCTCAGCAATGTGCTAACTTGGCGCTCTATTTCACATTTCAGTGTTTTTGGTTTGATTATATTATTGAATTTAATTTTTTATTATTTTTATATTATTTTTATGATTATTTATTAAATTATAATTTATGATTTTGTGTTTCAAATTTTATCATACCCGGGATGTTTACTAGACTCTTGTTCGGACAGATTTCAGTGAGTTTTTCCTAAAAATTACAGCCTACAATAAAAAAAATACATACTGTATTTCCATGCAAAAAAATGGTACCGCTTTCAGCACCAAAAATCTGAAATAATCATACCGCCAGGGAGGTTAATATTCAGACAGTCACATGTGCTGAGTCTGTCTGAATACAACAACCATCAGAGGAGATTCCTCTATCCACACTGTTTTGAGTAAAGGGGGCAATCAAGTGATTGCTCTCATTCAAAATCTCATAAGGGTATGCGCTAAATAAATATATATATATCTATATGTATATCACCATATATTAAGTGTCCAAAAAATGAAATAGTGTCCAAAAAATAAGCTCAAAATATTCTCCAGTGGCCTACTGGATGTTGACGTCAGAAACATTCTTTTCCTATTGTTTGCCGGAGGTGATCCGCAGTGAGCGGGGATTGTTCTCACCTTATTACTGTGCATTGCTGATTAAGCTGGTGTCTGTCTGGACACCTTGTCTGTGAGTTGTTTGAGTATTTATTAAATTTTCCTATGTTTTAAATGTACTGCACCATTATGTTTTTTTCTTTGTTCCTGAGTGTGATTCATACATATATGGAGGTATGGAATTAAATGGAGAGATTCATCAGAAAATCCTTGGCTGCAGAGTATTGCTCTTGGTAGTGATACGTTATTCCTCATACTGATTCACCATTATTGATTACCTGGACGTGATTAAGAATTACCACATCTAATATCTGGACATCGTTTATTCACCGCTTCCAGAGCACAAGCGTTATTGCTGGTTTATAATTTGATCAGCATATAGCTCTGGTGAGTTTATTCAATTCATTTGGTGGTGGATTATTCACAGTGTTATGAAGTCACAGAGAATATTTTGAGTTTATTTTTTGGACACTATTTCATTTTTTGGACACTTAATATATGGTGATATACATATATATATATATATATATATATTTATTTAGCGCATACCCTTATGAGATTTTGTTCACTTTGCCAAATTAATTGTTTGTGTATATATTTTTTTGGGTGGGTGTTGCTGCTGACACGTAGTTTATTTATTTTAAAAAGAGTTTGGTGCTTTTTCTTTTTCTTTTTGTACATTGCTCTCATTCAACCTGCAGGGCCAAACCAAAGAAACTTTAACATGTATGACTATCCTTAGCTTAGCGAATGCAGAGAAGTCATGTTTACACAATCATTTGTAAGAGATATGAAAAAAATTTTATGAACTAGATGATTGTAGTGAACACAGCTTCACTTTGTTTTTACAAAGTGAAAATTCTACTTTCTGTTGGAAAATTAACCATTTACCATATATTTTTTCCAATAGATATGCTTGCTAAGAAAATACAGGATAGCAAACTTTTTTGGGTAGTGGACTATTCATATTGGTGCATACTTCAGCCCTCATGCACACTGGACATTTTGATAATGCTGGTAACATTAGCTGTGTAAAGTCACAAAAATGTGAGTTTTTCAGCTTTGTTTAACGTTTTTGCATTAGCGTTTAGCAGCGTTTTGCCACAATAAGCAGCATTTTCCCATGTTTGTGGTTTTTAGAGGTTTTTTTTCCCCCACAAATTTTTTTTTTTGGTCAAAAAAAAGTCCAAAAACACCGGTTTGCGGCGTTTTAACATGTTTTGATACTTTTTTTAGCGTTAGAGCGTTTTTACAGCTAAAAAACTCCTCTAGAAATCCACTAGTTCCGGGTTTTTTTTTCCAGCCAAAAAACGTCCCAGCCAAAAAACATTGATTACAGTCTATGTGTGCATGGACACATAGGATAACATGCTGGGGGGTTTACTGGCTGTAGAAAAAAACGTCAAAAGCCAAAAACAGCCGCTGTAAAAACATCCAGTGTGCATGAGGGCTTATTTTGTTTTTTAAGTCACTGCAAAATTTAGATAATAAGTCTAATAAATAGCATTCTATATAACATAGCATATATGTACCAATATATTGTAAACAACCGTTAGATGTGTTGCTACATTCTGTGTTTTATAACTAGATCTTATACAATGCATACTCTTTTATTTTGTGCTGGTTCACACTGATGCAATTTATGATGGGACTTGAGTTGTACAGAATCGCAAAGGAAATCATATTATTTTCAATGGTGCCTGTTCACATCACTGCAATTTTGTAAAAGGTTCCTGTGCTACTTAGGTGCAATTTCAGTGTGATATGGCTACATAGAATATGCAAACTACATCCAAAGTCGCATCACTACACATAATCACACTGAAAATCGCATCAAAAGTGCATCACAGTAGCGTGAACTCAGCCTTTAACAGTGGCAATTTTGAAGAGTGACCAGTGGAGAATTGCCAATTCAGCATTTTCTGATTCTCCCAAATATTTACATGCAGAAAATCACACAATTTAAGAATGCAGAAACTGTATGTCTTTCTGCAGGTTGGACAAATTTAAATGCAAGGATTCGGGAACATGGGCTACACTGGGCTACATAGCCCAACACCATCATGACAAATAACAAGATGCTATTGCACTGGGTTGGTGTGCGCTAAAAAAAATAGATCATGTTGCCTTTGAATGCAGTGCAATGCATCTGACGCATTCTAACACATCACAACGTACTGCAGTAAATACAAATGGCATAGAAGTGAAATAAAAAGCGATATGTCATTGAAATACCCTACCATTAGAACACAGGAAACAAACTAGCCTACTGGAAAATGTACAAAGGCTTTTCTGGAGCAAATTGGTTCTTGGTACATTATAAATGAATCGCCTGGGACAAGTAACCGAAATGAAAAAGCTGGACGTTCACTTCCTCATTTACTTTGTATTTACAGGTTGCCAAGCAACAGCGCAGTCATCAGTGAATAAGGCAGCGTCAGAAGGACAGTCGGCACTGTTTTGTAAAGCAGACGCCGGGTTAGCAAAGATAAACAGAAAGCCCAAAAGCTCACCCTTCTGCCGAGAATCTGATTGATGGCGGCACTTTCTTTAAGCGTACACTCCGCTACGACATTCGCTCTCATCTCTTTCATATACAACATGAAAGCGTTCAGCGGCTTCTTTATATGAGGTCTTTTTGGCTCCTGCTCTTTTCTCTGTTCATGATGAGTTTTCCTAAATGATGGAAAGGGACAAACTAGGTTGATCAACATGCAAAAATAGGGATAATATGGTTTAGTAGTTGGAGAAACTTGAAGAACAATGTATTTAAATCACCGTGGAAGTTTATAGAAATGATATCTTAAAATGAAAATAGTTTAGCTGTACACTATCTACCTGAAGCTCTTATGTAGGTGTCTCAGTATAGCACTTTACAGTATACATACAGTAGATCCATTCACATACAGTAAGTCTCTGTTTTTAAAGCTGGTCATACACTGCTAGATTTCTGAACGAACAATCATACTAATATTTCTATAGATCTTCATGCAACAATTCTCAGTACATTCAATGATTTGAGGAATCTACTTAAAACTTGCATTTGCTTTTAACATTCAATTTTAGAATGAATATAATTTCTTAAACTAAAACCACATTCACTGTTAGAAATTCGTTCATTCCAGAAAAATTTTCCTTCTCGCTCCTTCAAATTTTCTTGTCACTACTGTCAAAAACAAATGTCAATTTGGCCACACTAATGGTTAGAAAATCAAAGGAACGTTCTTAAAATGAACATTTTATAACAAAATTCTACTATTGTGTGGCCAACTTTACTATCCCTAAAACACTGTAGTGGCAATCTGAGAGGTAGTTTGTTCATTAACCTGCTGCTATATATTTGCCAAAGTCTACACAGAGAGTATCCTTGGCGGGATTTAAACCCAATACCCTGAGCATAAAGGCAAACAGGCTAACCATTTAACTACTGTGTTGGCTATATGGAAGCTATCAGGAGGAACACAACATTAGGACAGAGCTTGAAGAATCAGATACTCTAGTGGAAAAACATAGACACTGGAGTGTACAAAAGATATATGAAGTAAAAGTGATTCTAAACAGATTTGTTTTCCTTTAAAATAACAAACATTTCATACATACTGTGCAATGGTTTTGCACACAGCATCCCCGACCCTTCTTTTTTCATGTCCCCTGCTGGTGCTCCTGGCTCCTCTCTCCTGCCGAGTGCCCCCATAGCAAACCACTCACCATGGGGGCTCTAGTGCGTGCTCGCTCCCAAGCTGGAAACATACAGAGCATGGCTCAGCCCTGTTCTGTGCGCTCTCCTCACTGGCTGTGATTGTCCAATGAGGAGAGAGGGAGAGACGAGAGCTGCTGCTCTTCTGCACATCGCCAGATAGTGATTGGCCTCAGGTAAATATTTAAGGGGGACTGAGGGGGGGGGGGGTCTGCATGCAGAAGGTGTTTTACCTTAATGCACAGAAAGCATTAAGGTGAAAAAAAAAGAACCACTTTAAGGGAGGGGAGGTGTTTTACATTTCCAAAAAAACACGTGGTTGATTTTCTAAAGAAGTAGAGACTGTTCACTTATGAAGTGAATGTTCACATTGCAAATTCAAAGTGTGTTCACTTTCAATACCCAGTCATGTGCCAGGGAAAAAATATTTTTGCTAGTGCATTATTGGATATTGAAAATAAACACAGCTTCGCCTTATGTATCAACACTTCCTTTGCAAAATGAACATTGATTTGATAGGTGAACAGCTTCCACTGCATTAGTAAATGAACCCCAGAGTTCTTTATTACTATACAGGATTCATATAGCACCAACAGTTTGCGCGCAGAGCATTACAACGTGAGGGCAGACAATACGGTTACAATACAATTCAATATAGGAGGAATCAGAGGGCCCTGATCATTAGAGCTTACAATCTAAAAGGGGAGCGTCAATTGATACAAAAGGTAATAACTGTGGGGGTAAGCTGATGGAGAAAATACATATACAGTTGTTAAGTGGAGGTTAGGTCTTTTTGAAGAGAAAAGGTTTCACTAATACCGGGGTTTTTCATTGATTAGGAAAAACTGAGAATGATTTACTAAAGATATTGAGGATCTTACCTTAATAAATTGAAGATTTTCTTCAATAACCTAATTATCTAAAAAGCTAATTCCTGTTTATTTTCTTCATCTGTGTATAATTTGGAACACAACATTAACACATTAAATTTATTGAGTAAAAAGTCTCAACTTCTATAGTAAATCAGCCTCACTGTAGCTCCAGGTGTGTTTGGAAACAATAGTTTGGCTGCTACCGACACCTATAACTGGTCAGATTATTAAGTAGTCAGTCTGATTAAGGCACCTTTCACACAGGGGGTTCGTTCAGGTCTACCTGTCAGTTGTTCAGGCGGACCTGATTGGATGGTCCATCCACCCCTATGGACAGGTGGGTGCAAACGGACTCTGCTGTACGCTTACACATTTTTACCTCCGGGTTCTGTCCACTCAGTTTATGCAGAGAGGGCACGGACAGAGCCTGCTCTGCCCTATTGGAGATATGTCATCTGTCTGCTCTGCTCCAATCAGCAGGGGATCTATGAGCTGATCCCCTGCTGATCAGGATGGAGTCTGACCTGTATAAAAGGTGTCTAAAACTCATTCTTGATTTGTGATAAATGTTGGAGAGTTAAACTACCCAACAATTTATAATAACTTTCTGGTAATTCACTGGTCATATACCTGTTCTTGAGTTTTTGGGTCTGCACAGCTGTTCTGGCAGTTATGAAGGAGTCCAATGCTCCCTGTTAGATATTACATTTTATATTATGGAGCATTCAGAATGAAATTCTGGAACAAAGATATAAAAATTATGTAAGGAGATGTAAAAATTATGTAAGGAGATGTTGCTCATGGAGAAATGAAGACATATAGGAAGCCAGGGAACAAAGCTGGTCATACACACATAAATGTTTTTTGTTGAACCAAACAAAAATCTAACAGAATCCTCCATCCATGTTAAAGAGCATGGATGTATGAATGTCCCACTGGGTTATTGCATTATGAGAGCCGGTGCTACTGGCTCTGGCCAGCCTAATATGGTAGTAAACCCATGTTTTAAAACCTTTGCTGACAGGCAAGGTATTTATGACAGGAGATACCTCCTGTCTGTCAGCTGTCATGTACACTGCGCCATGCATATGCAGCACATTGTACATTCATGGACCCAGATCTGTGCCAAGGTAATGTGACTCCCATGGGCATACATGGGAGTTATGTCATCATGGTCTCGCCAATTAGGTGGCTGAAAACACGGAACCCGGAAGAAAGACCAGGCGAACATGGATGTGCCCAGCACCTGCCAGATTGATCACATTGCATAGCTGGAGGGCTAATTTGGATGGAAAGTCTGCCATACTGTGCTAATATGTGGTGCATACTAATACATTATGGCAAAACCCACCTAGGGGCCCTTAAAAAAAAATCTTAGCGGAGTTAAGCTAAAATAACACTTCTAGGAGACTGTCCCTTTCATCAAAGGTTACCAGGTTTTACACATTCAATCATTGTAAAATATTATAATTACAAGAACAAAACTCTCTAGTGTGTTTTAGACTGAATCAATAGTATGCTCTGAACAATATGAGATAAATTCACAAGAGTAGAAAGACTCTGATCAGAATCTGGTACCATTCTAAATATATATGATCACACATATGTCAATAAGGCAAAGATCGGTGTGCAGACTGAATTAACAAATGGAAGCCAATCAGCAAGTTACTGCATTGTACATATCATAAAAAATATTTATTGACCACTTTTTTATATATTATTTCTGTGTTTACCCTAAAGACTTATTCCAGGCCACTTTCACTTGTTCACCCATATTTGTGCTATCACATTAAATATAGTGATTTCTATATTGACCCCTTAGCAAACAAAAACTCAGTTTGCAATCACTTGTCACCTTATAGATAATAAGATAGCTGCCACACAGAAAGTGCATTGTTTTCAATGAGACAATGTATACATACAATGAAAACAGAGCAAGCAAAGCAAGGTCTGTCAAATCATTAACAGATCTCATTATTTGCATCAAGCTGATCGCTCTCTCTCTGAAAAAATAAATCACTGAAAAATAATACATTACCTTAACAGAAAGTGTTAATTCATAAGGATGTAAACTTGACTTACACATGCATTAAGTCATTGTCACTGTGGGGGTGTTCTTGTTTAACCTGAGGATTGACAATAGCGGGATGAGGGATTCCAGTTGTGTGAGGACCCGGAGGACCAGGGACCATGTGATGTGAATACCTAAGCAAAATAAAAAAGTAGAGTATGTCAATAGGTCATTTTTTTTAGTAGATCTGTAGACAGATATAGAAAACCCATACCGTATTTCATGGTATTATATATGAATTAAAAAAAATATTCAAAGTATTTTTAAATGTGCTTCAACAGCTCAATGTCTTTGTACAGTTCTGTAAATCCAACACAGCAGAAAGAGAGAGAGAGAGAGAGAATGTAGGGATAACCTGATCCCTGTGCTACTATTGCTTTAGTATCCAATTATGGATTGGGGCAAGTAATAGACCAAGTAGTCCTAGAAAAAGTGAGGTCAAGGACCTGTCAGTAACTGTGTAACAAATTATTTTCTCAGATCTCTGGTATCTTAGTAAAACTTTGCAGTGCACATGCGCACGCGTGTGCGCACACACACACACACATGTTCCATTTCCTGAACAGAGGCCTATCATAACCAAGGATAGGGGGAATGATATGTTATATAGGTATAGGTTTCCCACAATGCAGTACCTATACCTAGTTTCCTGTATCTCTCCATAAGCAAGAATGACAAATCATTACAGGGTACTGTCATGTGCAACTGAGGACATAAACATTTGCTTATTTGAGTTGGGCATTTTGGCTTGGTGAGTGTCATTAACGCTGAAAATTATTATTTAAGCCACTATGATGATTGTTTTTGTGTGTGTGTGTGAGTACAGTATATGGTACATTATGCTTTGATTTAAATTACTTGCTGTACTATTGTTATCCCCTCTCTGTTCTGACACATACAGTAATAATAAAAATGCTGCTTTGCTTTATAAAGTGATTACCTATGAATAAAGAATTCTTTCCTGTGCTTGTTTAGGAAAGCTGCAGTATACCATGTGAAATTGGACATAATTGACAACATTATCTAAAGGTACCAAAAGAAACCTGTCCATCAGAACAGTTTTTGACCCTTGCAAATTAACAGCAAGAATTGTACTGGTGAATATATTTTGATGATCCTAAATTTATTAGCACTGCACTCCTTTTCGTATTTTGGTCTACAAAAGGAAATACTAAGATATATAAGATAAAAATGAACAAATGTTAAGCCTTATAATGCTTGTTCATATCCTGCAACCGTGTTTTTGTAATGTCTAGAATTATAGACCATACAAACAGACACAATCACTATTATTGTTTTATGTGGGCTTTGAACTGCTTACATTACACTGTGCTTCCTTTTGATTGGAGCTGCTTTACACTTTGAACTGGATTAGCATATTTAAAAAGAATAGTTCAGACAGAATAATTGATTCATTCCTACCCGACTTGACTCAATCAATTCAGTTCAAACAGGGTTATTGATTGACAGATTTCATGTAAAATGGCTTTAGAAGCTGCAGGCGTCTATAATGCCACTCTCCTGACAATCCGAGCACTTAGTGAATTGTTTTTATTGGAGAGAATAGGCCATGGGTATGAAATGGAAGATTGGGATTATTCCAATGTAGAAGATTAGACACCAGTCTTGATTGCCAGCTATTGTACTACAGGGATAAACAGCATGCCGTTTCAGCACACTGTCATGTAGGGGAGCACATTATTAACTGTGTCAGACAATTCTGTGAATCCATGTGTAAGATGTAAGCATGAACAGCATTTACAGACACATAGATCAGACCAAGGGGCAGCAAGGAGAGGTTGTAATTCAGGTTCACAGTAGCATGAACCTGGATTTTTTGGGTTGGTTAGTGCTACCTTGCCTTGGGTCTTAGTGTAGTCTAACTCTACTAGTGACTAGACAATTGTTTTAGTAAATGGCATTGTACCTATATTCTTTTTTGTCTTTCTCTCATGTTTCTAGTGATGAACAGGAAAATCTGGTTTATTTAATAGACTGCAAATGTGGACTGCAGACCTGGTTCTCCTGAAACTATGTGGAGCGGAGTTCCATGCACAAAACCATCCAGAGGAACAAGACCTCCAAGAAAAAAAACTTAAAGAAAAAATCTACTGAGTTATAAATGGTTAAATCTCAGGTATATTGCTGCCCATTATTTACAATTTACACTTTTATTGAGCGCCAATATACTTCCGGCCCTCAGCAGGTCACATGCGGCTCTCCTACACGGCAGCCATCCTGTCTTTTGCTCACCCCTTCTCTCCTCTTGTCTGGTCACAAAATACTTTTTATTCCATGAAGCATCCAAAAAATACAATGGGGTTGATTTACTAAAACTGGAGAACGCAATATATAGTGCAGCTGTGCGTGGCAGTCAATCAGCTTCTAACGTCAGCTTGTTCAACTAAGCTTTGACAAAAATACTGGAAGCTGATTGGTTTCTATGCAGAGCTGCAGGAAATTTTGCACTCTTCAGTTTTAGTAAACCAACCCCAATGCATTCTGTGAATGGACAAGAGGAAAGGAGAGAAGGAGAGCATAGCTTGTGTGTAGGACAACCTCTGTTCTGAATTTTGAAGGTTAATTTCTCCACAATGCCTATAGCTGCAGAAGTGAATATGGGTTCTTTTATTGTACTTTTACTGGAAGTTCAGAATATATAAAAATGTGCATAGTCCAGGCCTGATTTCAGTTGAATCTATCTATCTATCTATCTATCTATCTATCTATCTATCTATCTATCTATCTATCTGTCTGTCTGTCTGTCTGTCTGTCTGTCTGTCTGTCTGTCTGTCTGTCTGTCTATCAGCTTTTATAGAAGGATATGGAAGCAGACTGTATTTACTATGAAAGAATGTCTTCTTTGTATATAAATTATACAAAGAAAATTGCTATTTGGATATTTATATATATTTTAATCAAGTCATTTTTATTGAACAGTTGTTTTTTGTTACAAGTGCAACAATTAATATACTTAAAGATCTGAAAAAAAGTTTGCAATTAGAAACAATAAACAAGATTTATTTAGACTGGAATTTTTCCTGAACAGAAAAAAAGAACAGTGGTTTTGGGAGACAACCCAAACCTAAATTGTTAACTGTTTAAATCCCATGATTCTCTTGGCAAACAGAGATAATGGGAATGTTTGGTTAAGTCATCTTCACATAGATTAGGAACACTGAAAAGTCCCCAGAAACTGTTCCACACCCCCTTTACATGTTAGTTGCAATACTTTTTTCACACAAAATTAAATTAATTAATTTCATAATAATTTATAACAAAAGTGTTTCTGTTCAAAAAATGACAAACAGCATCTGAGTTATATTTTCCTGGCAAAACCTTTAGCCCGGTCATATAATTAAGCTTACACCACGTCAGATGAACAGAACAGGGAATGGTTAGAGGGTGAAAATCTAAACTTCAAGTATGGATTCATCTGTGCTGTTTTATAACAGTGCAAGACCAGTTCGTTTAAGTCTAGGTTCACTATTGTGCGAGCACGTCAGGACAGCAGCTCATTCAATTGAATGAGCTGCTGTACCTGTGACACCTGTGGGGAAAAAGGTCACTGATAAAATACAGCCACATGGAATCAATTGTGCACACCCAAAAATGCTAATTTTTTTCCAATGTATGAGGGTGCCACTAGAATTAATGTTACCCCTGCACATCATCTTCAAAAGAGTAGCGCACTTTACTTGTGGGTTGGCAACACATTCGATTATTGACTACTGACTTTGAATTATTATTCGATTATTGACTTTGTCAATATTGACTTTACAACATCAATAGTGATGAAACGCGTTGGAGCAAAGCATGGTCAGATAGCTGTGAGGCAATGCTTTGTTTTGTAAGGACAATTTTTATATTTTAAAGCAGAGCAGGGAATGGTTAGACCCTGTGTTAAGTTTTTATTGGCATTTGTGTACATTCTGGGAAGATTCAAGCTTCTGTTTTTCCAAGTGACCATTGACAATCAGATAAAAAATTAGAAGAAATCCCAAACTTTACAGTTGACACCAAAACAACAGATAAAGGAAAATCCTCCAATAGGAGACCATAAAGATCTTCAGAGAGGGGGAAAGGCCATCAGCTGTTCCTGTGACAACTCCCTTAAAGTGGAATTACATTAATTTGGAAAGACTTCTCTCATTTCCAGGTGTGTTTCCGGGACAGTGTGTTAACAGAATTATCCCCAGTGGTACACAGGCAGTAAAAAAAATTATATAATAGGTGTTTTAACCCATTCCTACTTTAAAACCAGTTTGTACCAAAATGCACTTTCATTGCGGCCCAGATCCTGAAATACCAAAAAGGACCAGACCTAGAGTTGCTGGTGTCAAAATGCTAAACTGTGCCACTTTTTTCAACTTTGTAGCCACAAAGAAAGTAAAGGTAGTAACTGGCATTCGGGTTTGACATTGATTAAGTTGCCTACGTGGTGCATTTGATTGCTAAAGGAGACTAGAAAGATTTTCATGGAGCGGGAAAGGTCATCAGCTGGGTTGTCATCAAGTCCCGACCAGTGATCATACATTGACCTCAACGGTGACCACATTCCTTCAGTGTGCATATATGCACAGCAGTGTATCTCAAAGAATAAGTAAAGATTGCATTACTTGAAATGACCTGTTGTTCTAAACATGGATCACATGCTACATTGATTATACTGTGATTGCACAGATCCATTTGTCATTACTTTTCTTATATCTGCAGACATCTCAGTCAGTTAGCATAAACTCACCAGCCAAGAGGTGGTGTCATCTGGCCCACTCCTCCTGGAGACAGTGGGTAGAAGGTAGGAAGGTCAGGTGCTTGAGGATGCCTGTGCATGCCTGTCAATAAAATATCACATCAAACATTGGCCCAAAGAGCACTCACGTGTATACAGACAGATGCCAGGACAGTGTATACTTTTTTTACTGTAGAAAAATGTACAACAAATAATGTTAGGATCCAATGTAAAAAAAAGTGGTAAGTGTTGCTATTCTACCCCCGGAGGACATTAATTCCTTCTCAGCACTCAATGGATTAGTCACTGTCCTCCAGTTCTGTTCTATTTTTGATGGATGAGAAAAAATATACATGAACAGCATGCATAATGCAATAACCATGAAATTTACATTTATAAGGTGCTTAGGCAATTTGTGATTTTGATTTAACCCCTTCAAAACTCAACTAGCACCCTTGGCCCAGCACCAACAAGAGATCAGCATTTCCCAGAAAATCAGCAGTTCTTTTACACTGTAATGTTTTAGCTTAGTTCCACGATTGTTGTTCTAATGAAAGTTGAAAAAACAACAATAACGTTTAAAGCAGATAGCTGCCAAAAACTTGGCTTAAAATACAGAATGTAGATTAGGTACATTATATTAGGGTCTGTCCATTAACACACATTCCCCAAAGGTTGCATTACAATTTTTTCTCTCCATTTTGAACCACAGAGGATCACTGACTAATTATGAATCATTTTTAGGCTTCTAATGCTCACTCTTGATATGATTCACTTGGCTCCCAACTGTCACTCCAGTTTCTACTAAGCTCTTCATCAAGCTAACGGCTTTGGGCGGCAAGGTCAAGCTGTTTTGCCTTGGTAGCACTTTTTTTGTAGAACAAAAAGAGTACAAAGAAAAAAATCCCACAAAGAGCTACACATCATATTTCAGTATACACTCCGAGACTGTATGCCTTACAAGTTCTAGAGTAAACACCTTGCCACCAGAACCTTGTTCATTTCCCTAGTTTATGTCTGCCTTCACCTCCATAATTCTAAACTTTATAATCCAAACAAGACCTGTTATTATATGAACAAAATGAATAAATTCAGTATTATTGACAGGTTTTATTTATTACTGAAATAGGACCACCAGCACTATTAATATTAAAGTAGTATATACTTTGTACAATATAGGTGGTTTCCTGCCTTGAACCATAGTTTGGTAGTGGACTACACATAGGGTTTGATTTACTAAAGGCAAACAGACTTAATTTTGCAAGGAAACTTGCACTTTGTATGGGAATTTGCCTCAGAGCTTAGTGAATGAGTGCTTTTGACTTCCATCATCCAACCATATCCAAGCAAAAATGCTGTTTTTGTTTTTTCATTTTTTTTGCACATGATTGGGCATCCTTTGCAAAGTACATCTACACTACATTTACTAAGCTCTGAGGCAAATTCCTTGCAAAATGCATCTTCCTGTGCAAACTCCTAATGTTCATTTTATGATATAAGGAGACATAGGGCTGAACCTGCATTGAGGATGGAGTGTTCATGAGTGCAGATTAGGGCAGTCGCCTCAGTTGGCTTCATCGGCAGCATGGCCCTAGATGCTTAGCCACATGAATGTTCACTTTCCAGAGTGAAAAAAAACTGGATATTTACTAGTAAATGACAAGGCGTTCAAAGTGAACAGAGCTTCACCTTCACCTAAGTTCAGTAAACACTAATGTTGCTAAGTAAACCATCTCTATCCTTTGAGTAATCAGTAACAATGTTTCCTTAAAGGAGAAATATGGGGTATACAAAAAAACATACTTACCTCCATACTCCAGCATCAGTGTGACACTGCAGCTGTCTAATACTGGCTCTACCACCAAGAGCTGACAGATCACGTGGCTGCCAGTCATCTTCACTCTGAACCTCCAGCACATTCGTTGATTGTTACTCAATATTGTACCCTTTCCTGGCAACATCAATTTACATACCCACCTCCTTCTTTGATAAAACTTAGTTCATCACCTGGTATCTCAGGTGGTTTATTAGAAGTATGACCAGGGCGTTGTTGTATATAACAGTATTTTTTTTTTTTTTGCAACATTATAGGAGCTCCATCTATGGTAGTAGATGTTTTCACTTATCAAACCATGCTTTTGAATGAATACACTTCCTAACCTGAAAATTAGAGCACAGAGAAGAGAAGAAAATAATGGGGAAAAAAATGGGCGGAAGTGACTCCATACGTACATGCCATGTTGCAGCATTGATGGCGTCATGACGTTGATGGTATTGTGACATCATTGACGCCGATCAGCGGCAGGAGTGGCCCATATATAAATGAGTCCAAATGGCTCTTAGGCTTTGCTGGTTGATGGGGATGTGGAGTTGTGGCGCTGGCGCTTTCTTGGTGATACGTTTTTCTTTGATGTATTTTGAAGCTCGTGGCTCATGTGTATTCAAATTTGGGTCTCCCAATAGTTATTATATTTTGTGTTTTCTTATTCACCAGTATTTGTATCCTTATTTGACTGATTTTGTGTCTTTGCACCTTTGGGTACGTACCACCTCCCTTCTTTTTGACTCATTAGTACTTGGATTGAGGTAAACTCTATACCTATATTTTGTTATATCTATATCCATAGTGTGCATTCATTTGACTACTGGGAATAACATTGGTTTCCCTTTGTAATATATCTTATATTTTATTCTAGTGTCCAATTTGGGCCAAGAAACCTTTTGGTTTCCTCCGATGTAACACTATCAAACATGATGTTAATTGCTGCATACTGAGTACTCAACTAGTGGTGGTTATGTCGTCCTTTTTATATGTATATTGGTGATTATTTAAGTTTTTTGAGCATTTTTTGCAAACTGTCAGAAATGGTTGATGTTTTTTACTGTTATGTTTAGATCAATTGCGCTCCTCCACCAGTCGTCTGAGGCACCAGCCTGTCCAGGCTTATTTGAGGATTTGTTTGTCCTACTTAATTGTACTACAATCATTCTATATACTATCTGTCTATTTGAGCTAGTATGAACTATTTGGTGAGTTGCCCTCCATTAACTTTCAATCTTTGAAATGTCTGTATAATGAGATTTGTATTGGTTCTTGTTTTTGAGTTAAGTATTGAAGGTATTTAACCGTATTATTATATTGTATAACTATCAATTCACTATTATAGGTGTCACATTTAATATCTCCTGAAGAAGCCTGAAAAGGCGAAACATGTTCAGAGAGAAATATTGCACCAGATATATTTTTGAATAAGTATCATCATAAATTTTGATATATTTAAATGTATACATTTTTTAAAGTGATTTGATAATAAATATTGTAACATTTTAGCTTTTATTGTTATATATATTTTTTTTGCCACCTTAAAAATCTCAGTATTTTTTTTTTCATGTGAGGAGTTTTTTCTCCTCATTTTTTTTTCTTTCTCTCCATTTTTTCTTTTTTTCTCTTGGCATATTTCCTAATTTAGGCATGTGGTATTGTTATACTCCCTTCAGAATGCAATTCTTCTTGTTCTTTATATTTGCTCATGAATTTAGGTGATATGCTTAGTATCTACATTTTGTACACACCAAATAAACCTCAATGATTTACACAGGATAAAAGCTATCAAACTTGTTTTCATGAAAATCGTTACAGGAGTAATTGCCCTCATTTGTTTTAATAGTGTAGTGCAAAGTGTTTCTTTTATCCACATATGATGATCTGAAAGTAATACTAAAGGCACTTTTTTCATATTTGTTTTTAAATAACAAATATGTTATACTTACCTGCTCTGTGCAGTGGTTTTGCACAGAGCAGCCCTGATCCTTCTTTTCTCAAGTCTCCCACCGATGCTCCTGCCCCCCCCCTCCTGCCGAGTGCCCCTAAAGTAGCTCTCTATGGGGGCACTCAGGCAGGCTTGCACCTGAGGCTCTGCTCTGCCTGTCCATTCACACACAGAGTAATGGTTCAGCCCCACCCCCTCTTTCTCCTCATTGGTTTACTGGCTGTGATTGACAGCATTGGGAGCCAATGGCTCAGCCAATGAGGAGGGAGAGTCCCCAGAGAGCTGACGCTCTTGTGCACATCGCTGGATTGCGATGGGGTTCAGGTGAGAATTGGGGGGGGGGGGGCTACTGCACACAGAAAGTTTTTACCTTCACACATAGAATGCTTGAAAGTAAAAAAACCCTAAGCCTTTACAACCACTTTAAGGATAATTTAGAGGTGTTGGATTATTTATGGGCTGAGTTCTTATAGCTATAGTAGTTGTAAATCTACAGAAAAAGCTTAAATGGACTAGATTAGAACAAGAATGGCCACCTATACAATGCTAAGATGAAAGTAACCTGTAAGGCGATACAACGGTACCAGGAATGTATAATATATGAAAGCCGAACAAGTTACAAGAAGGTCATGTACACCCATCAATCTGCAGAGATTATTACTGAGTTCATGTCACTTTAAATAAATGAAAAACACATAATTACTCTTTAATTGTTCTAGCAGTCCTCACGCCATGACATTCTTTTTGGATCAGTATTGAAGTTTTTGTTTGCAAAATAATTGCTAGATTTAATTGAGAACATTTTACACAAGTATGTTTTTAATGTGTGATATAGGAGAGGAATAGAAAGGGGTGGGTTTACTAAAACTAGAACACACAAAATTTGGAGCAGCTGTGCATAGTAACCAATCAGCTTCTAACTTAAGTTTGTTTAATTAAGCTGTGACAATAAAACCTAGAAGCCGAATGGTTACTATGTACAGTTGCACCAGACTCTGTGTGCTCCAGTTTTAGTAATTCCACCCAAAATGTTCTTCCAAAGTAATTTGTCTACAATTATTAAAAATAAATTTGAAAAACGGTGGTATTTAGGGTGTCTTGGTTCCTGCAATTATAATGGCCTGATGACTGCCCACAATGAACATGTTAAGGGATCTAATAGCATGCACAGAATTGCCTTGTATTGCTACACATGGTTTCCTTATGATTTATACATGTAATGGAAATTTTCTCATTTCTGGCAGGACCCAGCAGGAAAAAAAAAATTATTTCAGTAAAATACATGACAGCATTTTCTTATATTTAGCGCCGCAATTCATACCTTGCTTAGGGCCGACATCTGACGGAATATGGGAAGGGTGAGCTCCTGGAGCAAAGTGCTCATCACTGTATGTGATGAGAGGTGTGAGGGGATGCACTGCATGTGACGGCTGCACAACTGGCACCTTATTTGACTGAAACAATAAGAGCAAAATAACAAGCATAAAATAACAGCCTTTTTACATGAATAGCACTAAATAATTCATTTATAACACTTAACATTTGTCAGACTTAGCACTGGAATTAAAAAAAAACTCTTGGGTGCAGCCATTTTCTGGACATAACATATTTAAAGCATGTACAAACCCAAAAATATAAAGGTAATATACAGTATATGGCAGTCTACCAGTCCTTATGTGTTCTTAGGACTTTATTTTCAAATAGTGATCCTGTTAGTAAAACACTTCTTAACCTAATGTGACAACTTACCACCTCACCACTGTACCCATGGAAAAGCAGCATTGTCACCCTAGGACAGGACTGCAGAACACTTGCTTCTTTCCTCTTCTCTATAACATAGGGACAAGTATTCTGTGGTCCCTATGTATTCTGATAACACCCAAAAATGGCAGATGTTTATAAGCTCTCTAGGTTTTTGGCAGGATAAATGAGTATTTTTATGCTGTGACAAACTTTTGCAGGTGACTTATAGGTGAATTATTAGACTTTATTATATTTCTACCAAATGCGGAAAAGAGAGGCAGCTTAGTGGTTAGATCCATAAGGGTGGATTTACTAAAACTGGATCACTCAGAATTTGGTGCAGCTGTGCATGATAGCCAATCAGCTTCTAACTTCAGCTTGTTCAATTAAGCTTTGACAAAAAACATGGAAGCTGATTTGTTTCTATGTAGAGCTGCACCAGATTTTGCACTCTCCTGTTTTAGTAAATCCCCCCAATAGAGTCATAGATTCATTGATTTGACAACCTATATCACTATATGCATATGATCTTTATTTAATTTTAATAGGCCCCAATGACAATGAATGACTAAATTTCATTCAGTTAGAACTTAAAAATTGTTTACTAATCAATTCTGCAGTCCTCCCAGTAATGTTTTTTCCAAAGCATTAAAATTCTGACTATTCTGTTTCCTTTTGTTGGGTAACTGGGTGAACACAATTGTGTTTGTCACATATATAAGTATAGATCTGTGCAAGAAACTACCTGTTCCCAAAATTATATCTCAGTTCTGATTGGGGCTTAACATTGCACACATATGATTTAATATGATTAGCAGCCTATTAATGAAAGCAAGCTATACATTAGGTTTAATAGCCAGTTGTTTCACTGTTCTGTCCAAATTGGTTCAAATGTTCTTTATTTTCTATGGTCCAAATTACATTTAAATATTACCACAATATATTGTATTTATATACTGCTAGGAACATACATATTTTTTATGATTAGGTTATCTTAATTATGTTCCTTCGTTTTTAGTGTTTTGCGTTACACACTGTTAAATACTAATTAATACACAGGAATTTTAACAAATTGTGAGGGAGATTTACTAAAACTGGTGCACTCAGAATATGGTACCGCTGTGCCTGGGAGTCAATCAGCTTCTAGCTTCAGCTTGTTTAATTTAGCTTTGACAATAAAATCTGGAAGCTTATTGGTCTCCATGCTGAGCTGATTTTACACGCTCCACTTTTAGTAAATCCCCCCCCGTATCCAACTCTATAAGGTGCACCCCAGTATAGTAGGGTAATAACACAGGATTCAGAATCCCAACTAGACAGTGAAGCTGATTTGGCTTAGGACTCTTCACTGAATAAATTTTATCAATTTTATTACCCAATCATGTGCACAGGAACAAAAAAAAACTGAAATTTGCTTTTCACAATATTTATTGTGTGAAATTTCTCAACTCATTTAGCCACTATATCTCATCGTTGGGACAGTCAGTTGTACTGCTATTTCACTGTGAAATAAAATGTAAATAAAGATGTTAAACATTTCATTAAAGTTTCGCGATTAGTTTTTAACCACTTGTTGCCCTGTTTGTTTCCCCGGTTGTTCACATTTTCACAATGATGTCATTTCCCATAGCTTTGCTTTCTAACTTCTTTCACTGTCCCATAAAATTTGCCTTCCTCTGCAAATGTACACAGCTGGCACTCTAACACAATAGTGATCGAGACAAAAACCTAATTCATCAAAAAGAACACAAAAAAGGACGTAGAGTTTTCTAGTGTCAGATATCAGTATTTGTTGGACCCTTTGGCATTTTAGGGGTTAGCAAGCATACAGCCAAATAAGCCACTTAGGGCTTTTGTGTCACCATCTACAAGTTAGCTAGTGGCATTCTTATGTAGTGATGATGGAAGAAGTTCTTAACCCGTAGGTCACCCAAAACATGGAACCTAGTCAATATGATCCTTTGTTTGCAAACCCTTTAGTTACAAAACACAGCTCCATAACTATTGAAAGACTACATATAGGTAGATCAGCTAACAGCATTAAATCATTTACAGCTGTATATTATTTAGTAACAATTGCAAAATAAATCTACAGAATAGTTTGGGTCACTTTTTTAAATGGTTAACAGCTCTCTAATTCATAGTAATATTCAGCAACATAGAAAACCATAATTATTTGAAGCCAATTAATGATCTCTATGGCACACTGTAGTTCCCTCCCATTCCAGCTGTTTTATTTTCTATCTTTATTCACATAGAACTGCAAGAGCACAGAGAGTTGTTATTTTGCTTAATTTAATTTTTTTTTTCATTTGTTTAATTTTATTTACCGCCATCTCAATAAATGTACATTATGCTAAACAATCTATATCATTATTTATATATTTAGTTTTATTCTTTATCATTATATAATAAAAATGACAAGATTTAGCATTGCCTTGTAAACAGCAGGGTTTTTAAAGATGCATGTAGCGTCACAGTTATCACAGTTTGATAAGTAAATGAATAGATTTTAAAAGAGTTAAAACAAATAAATGAATAATAAGCAATTAATAATATAATTAAAATATAATTTTTCAGGACCTGGGCATCGTACTGCATTATTACCAAAAACTACTGTAACTATATAGTTAAATAAACATGTTTTTAGGTTCATTTGACCATTCCAATGGTTTTAGTCTGTTTTTAACCATTGCAGATTCATTTATAAACTAACTGTGCCCAACATATTTATCATTCATCTGCACACAGCCATAAAATAGGGCCCACCCATCTGTGTGACTTAACAGTCAATGAAGACAAACAATGTCATTATTCTAAATTGAATCATAAAATATTTTTTTCTAAATCTATACTACTTTCTAGCATAAATCAGTAAAAAGAAAAGAAAAAAGAAAATATGCCTGTGAAATTAAATGCCCCCTCCCCCCCTTTCCCTCCATTCCCCACACATAAACACACGCTATACATAATAATGTTCAAACATAATATCTGACTGTATGTGAAACAATAATCAATTTACCTAATTCATAGAAACAAAAATAAAAAAATAAAATAAGGTCCTTGGTTTTGTTTTTATTTCCCATTTCTTACAGACTTCAATTCATAAGAGGTTGTATTACTGTATCTTATTAACGGTTGGCCTATCCCTCCAGTCATAGAGCTCAAAAAATCTAGCACCATGAATTCTGTCTAAATTATGCCATCCTAGCTCTCTCTTAATTTTACGGTTTTCAACACAGATTTGCTTTCCTGTGGGAAGAAGATAAGAACCTAAGGATTTTAATTTAAGCTGTGGCCTTGTCTTATATTTTTTGCCGGGTGGAAAGTGAACGCAATGCCGGTAGGTGTGTCAAGCATTAGATTCCTTTTTTGTCACTAAATAACAAAAGAATTATAATAAGTCTCTAATATGCATGAGTTCGGTTCAGCCAGGAAAATATCCAGCTTGACCCTTCCCTGTCCTTTTCATACATTGTCATGTAAAGGAGATTTAAAGTTCACAAAAAATGTTTATTGGCATTATTCTTGTTTATTTCATCTGAAAGCAGCAGGAAACACTGTTTTTAGCACTTATGATCAAAAGACGGTTTTGTTGGGTCTGTCATTCAGTGATTCAAAAGGCAACAATTAATATTGCCAGCACATTTGTTTGCATATTATCATAACATTTAAAGGGACTCTGTCACTAGGAAAGGGGAGCTTGGAAATTGAGGAGTTCCCAAGTTAGATAAAGTAGCATGTTTTCAATGAGCATTATATGATCCCAATTAAAGTTTTCCATTGAATATAAAATTCACTCTGGGTAGTAAAAGGTGCCATAGGCACTGATTTTCCACAGCTGATTGTTGCATCTGATACAGAATTTCTAAATTTTTTCAGTCTGCTATATAAAACATTGCTGTTTATGAGTAAAAGATCTGCTTCAAATATAAGGAGCCTTGTGTACAAACACTGGAAAAAAGCGTTGGTCAGTGTTGCAAGTAGAAAGTAGTCTAACTGCACTGGTAAAATAGGAACTGGAATCTGACTGGTTGCTAAGGCAACCATAGGAACGTTACTTTAGTTCACTTTTTATTTATGATGAAACCCATGGATGCTATCTAGAAAATGAAGCTCCTGTGTGTATTAACAATTACAGCTATTATTTATATCAGTTCTACCTTCATAATGTATCATGCTAAAAGAAGTGGTTATCAAATATAAGGAGACTAAGAACACATGCTGTAGCCAAACATGTACCATACATGGCACAATGATTGTAGGTTTTTGCCAAGCAATTGTCATTTCATCAAATGCCTTGCCCTGCATTCTAAAGAGCGCTGTGTAAAGTGCAATACACATAGCAATCAAACAGCAATCATGCATTATTACTCCGCTTTCTCCATACTTGCCTTTCTCAACCTTTTTACCCCAGAGGAACCCTTGAAATAATTTTCAGGTCTCTCGTTGAACCAATTCATTGGGATCAGTGGAAAAAAAATGCCCCTTACATTGGTGGCCATTGGAAAGAATGCCCCCTATAGTCGTGATCAGAATGCAATCTTTACAGACAGCTCAAAAGATCATTGGTGTAATGCACCTGACTCTGCCAAGTGGCATTGGCCACATCACTTTGCAGACACAATCATCTGGCTGGTCAACCAACTACAACTTAAGGAACCACTAACAACCACTGGAGGAACCCTAGGATTCCATGGAACACTGGTTG